AGAGAGAGAGAGAGAGAGAGAGAGAGAGAAATGGGAAGCTTGGGGAAAGGGCTTGCTAAGAGATGAGGCTGGCAGAGCCGGATCACGAAGAGACCTTTATACATCACCTTAAGGATCTTGGAGTTGCTACCAAACTATTGAGAAGGACTTTGAGCTGGGGAGCACCCTGATCAGATTTTTCGTGTTAGGAGGAGCACTGAACAGCCTCCTGGGGGACTCAGGCTGCAGGCAGGGAGACCTGGCAGGATTCCTGGGGATGTTCACTGTGGTCTTGACAAATCGCGGTAGGCCCACACCAGCCCAGAGAGAAGCCCGAAAAGCGCTGGAGATACAGCTTCTCCACGGAGTTTCCGTTCAACTCTTCATCTGCCCATTGGGCTCCTGAGCCCATGACTGCCACATGCACCTGCCCAGTCTGCGGGAACAGTGACCATGCCTCCACTGGTCTTAGGACCTGGTGACCTCCGCGCTTTATCTGAAAGGGCCACGCTGCTCCGAGCCCCTTTGGACCTGTGCCCCAAGCGCCCCTGTCTCCGCGGGGCCGGCAGTGCCTGGCAGTCAGACCTCAAACATTGTCTTTCCTCTCACACCCAGAGGCTCTTCCCAGTACACAGAGCAGCCATTGAGCAGCTCGGGGGCCTGGCGGGGGTCCCAGGCCACATTGGTTACAAGCCGTGGCTTAGTCACGCTCCAAGGAGCCTTTCTTCAGGGGACAAGCCAGCCCTTGTGCTTCTTGTGCAGCAGCCTGTCCCTGGCAGCTGCGGGACCCTCTGCCAACCCCGCAGCATGCTTTAGCAGGGAGGCTGATGGGAACTGGAAGCCAGGTGGAGAGTGCCTGGGGGTGGAGGGACAGCCACCTCCTCACCACGTGCTGTGTGCAGGTGCACAACCCGGCTCTCTCCTGCCCCTTTGTCCCTGGCTTGATGCATGAAGGAGGCTCAGGAAGGCTGTGCAAAGCCCCTTCCCCCTCTATGGCCAAGACCCAGGTGGAAGCCGGATGGAGCACCTGTTGCTTCCTCACGCCCTGGGCGGCTTAGCTGCCAAGGAGTCAGCTCCCTAATGGATGGTAACCCCACACAATGGAGCGGAAGACCACCCGGCCCTGTACCACCATTGTGATCAGTTGCAGCCCCGATTCTGGTGATCCGCAGGGCTTTCCATTGGCTGATCACCAGCCTGGATCACCAGGCCTTTCTTCCTAGTCCCTCGTGGTCTAAGATGTTCAGCACACTAGCAACAGGCACATCTCCATGGACAGACGGGCTGATAGCTGTGCTCAAGGGACATTGGTGGGGAACGGAACCCAGTCGAGCTGCCTTCATGATGGTGGTGTCTTGGTAGAGGCTGGGCTCCGGAGTTGAGGGTGTGGGCTCCGACCTTGACTCCACGGTCCACGGGCTGTGCCACAGTTGGGAAGTTCCTCCCTCTCCCTTGGCTTACGGCTGTCTGGGGATGTGACATCATGTACCTTGCAGCGTGGGTGTGAGAATGCAGTGCGCCAATGTGGAAAATGCTTAGCTTGGTGCCTGGGCACAGGAGCAAGCAGCCTCAAAGGGGTCGTTAAAAAAGGGTGCATTTCTTCCTCCACTTCTTCTGCCTCATTGCTAGGATGACGGTGTGCCCTGGGCAGTGCCAATGCATCATATGCTCTGCTGCTGGCTGAAAGGCTAGGGCTTCGAATCTACCCAGAAGTACTTGAGAAGAAAGGCCTGGTGATCTACTTCCAAAAGAAATCAACGATTGAAAATCCTATGGGACACATATCTAGTCTGACATACATGGGGGGGGGGGTTGGTTCTCCTGTTACCCCAAATTGGGAATCGGCTCCGTGAAAGCCGGACCTCACACATGAGATACTCACTGCAGTTTGAGGGCACAGTGGTATCCCCACTGCACAGCGGAGGAAGCGGAGGAGCTGCAAGGTTAAGCAACTTGACCAGTGTGGCCGAGCCAGTGATTTGGACCCAGCTCTTGATCCTGTGTCCTTGCAGCACAGGGACCCGAAGCTCAGGGATTATGGGTGACCTGACCCTGTGGCACTGAGGTGGTAGACCCTCCCGGTGGCTTCTAAGTGCATGCTGTCCTCTCTTTCCAGATTTCCCGAGCCAGGAGATCAAGGCTGGTGGCATCCATGGCCAGCTCCGTGACCCTGGGGCAGACAGTGCAGCGGCAGGGCTCCTTGGTGCCAGAGAGAAGTGATGATGCCCTTTGAGATGATGCCCTGCTGGGAACGGGAAGAAGCACACCGCTGCGAGCCAGGTGCCAGGATGCAGGAATGATGCCTCTGGGGGTCCTGGCCTCCCTCCCACCCGGGTGCTAGGAGCCGTCCCCAGGCTCCAGCCGGGAGCCTTGCCGCCCAGGGGCATGGCCAAACCTTTCTTCCGACTCCAGAAGTTTCTCCGCCGAACACAGTTCCTGCTCTTCTTCCTCACAGCCGCCTACCTGATGACCGGTAGCCTGCTGCTGCTGCAGCGGGCCCGAGTGGCCCTCCCACAAGGGCCCCGGGCGCCCGGCCCCCTGCAGACCTTGCCCGTGGCTGCGGTGGCACTGGGCATGGACCTGCTGGATAGCAGAGCCTCGCGCGAGCCTCGAGTCAGCCCAGACGTGCTGCTGGGCGTGGACATACTGCACAGCCCCCTGGCCCGGCCCCGGCCTGGACCCCGCTGGCTCCGGAGCCGCAACTCAGAGCTGCGGCAGCTGCGAAGACGCTGGTTCCACCACTTCATGGGCAACACCCAGGGGCCTTCTGCGCCGGGCCCCGAAGTCCCCAGGCCAGCCGCTCACAGTCAAGGTAGGTGCTCTGCCCTGGTTCCTGGGCAGACCAGGGGTCACAGGCATGGGGTCCCCCCTACTCCCCCTCTGGCCCTACTGGCAGCCAGAGTAGTTGGTCCTGCAGGCCCGTGGCTCCCTCCCTCCCTCCCTCCTGTTCAGAGGAGACTGGGAGGATGTGGGGTCTCTTTCACACGCAGCTGGATCCCCTTGTGACTCCAGGCAGATGTGTCACCCAGAGCTCACCCTCGGGGTTCAGCTCCAGCTGGGCTGGCATCCCAGCACAGCCTCCTCCTCGCGTGAGCGGAGACAGACGCTTCATTCTCCAGGCCCCTCTGAAGTGGAGATTCAGACAGCTGTTGTTAATTAATAAAGGCCGATTTGCCATGTACCTATGAGGTGTACGCTTCTGATCGGATCTCCGCTTTAGAGAAGAAGAAACAGAGGCACGGAGGAGACGTCTAATAAAGGGCCCTGGATGACGCCTGAAACAAGCATTCAAACCTCACAGGGAATAGATTTGGTTCCAGGGCCCCTGGGGAGGGCCCCCCCCCCACACACACAAACTGAGTGCCCTCTGTTCGATCCTGGCTCACGGAGACCCTGTAGGACAAGGTCGGAGACCCTGTAGGACAAGGTCGGACTGTGAGTTTCCAAGACTAGCTCTTCCCTGGAGCAGGAAGCCTCGTGTGTCCCCTGCGGAGCAGCCGGTGTCTTCCAACGACTGACCTTGCGCAATGTGCGCCCCACTGCAAGGGAGGCAGCCAAGAGAAGAAAACCAGCCATCACTGCCACGGAGTCAAGGCTGACTCCCAGTGATTCTACAGGGCAACGTAGAACTGCCCCGTGGGCTTCTGGGACTGACTCCACGCAGGAATGGGAAGCCCTGCCGGCCTCCATCGGAGCGAGTGGTGGTTTTGAACTGCTGACCTTGGAGTTAGCAGCCCAACGCATAGCCACTGTGCAACCAGGGCTCCTTAATAAAAGGTGCAAGTAAAGGGTTAAGACCTGGTTAACCTGGTTCAAACCCAGCAGGGAGCACCCAGGATCCCACCCCAGTGCTCACCACTGGCAATTCTGAGCAATCGCTGCCCTCCCCTCCCCAATAAATTATTCAAAACGCATTATTAACCCCATCTCCAGATTTAAGGGAAAATGTGGTCTCCCCTCTAAATGTGGAAACCACACCTGGTAGGGGTTGTAGGGTTGCCTAACTGGAGGCCCTGACAAAAGCAGGTAAAGGCCTGAGCCCCCCGGGAACCCCCCGTTCCCTGCTGCAGCCCCGTGGGTCCAGCAGAGCCAGGCCAGCCTCTCCCAGGTGGGGAGCCAGCCCCAGGGACAGCTGCAGGCCGCAGACAAAGCCAGCGCCTCTTTGCGGCCGGGCAGCCCGCCATGCTTCCTCCGGAAAGGGGCTGCGCCGAGGCGGCGGGAGCTGCAGGAGGCTCCATCCATCACCGTGCATTTCATTATGCCTTGGACAACATCCATAATGGGATAAAATGTCAGTAAGTTTACTAGGGGAAAAATAGTAACTTCTCCATAGCCAGTTTGTTTTTTATGGACAGTAATTTCCAAAGACATCCCACTGTCTCCAAAGCCATCGTGAATAGCTGCACGGCATGTCCATTTTGATGTGCAAATGAACAGATGTGAAGTTGCACACAATAATACCGCGCCTCCGTTTCCGCCGAAAGTAATAAACCCTCCCAGCGAATCCAGCACAAATTCTTTCTGTGTGGGGTAGCTCAGGCCCTTTTTGTGAACTGAGCCGGGGTCGGTTAGGAGTCGGCATCGTCTCCCGGCAGGTCAGCTCCATCCAATGACCAGCTGGCCCCTGGGCAGCTTCTCCTTCCTTTCAGAATCACCTGGCCTTTTCCCGCTGTTTTAAAGGCCCGTTGTCTTCTCTGGTCTGTGTGCGTGCGCGCATACATGTGTGGATACTTTAGCAAATACTGCTCCATATCCCCTTGGTGAGAGTGGGGGATCAGAATAGCAATCGCTGTCATTTACTTGAACCTCCGGGGTGTGCCGAGCATTGTTCTGCGCTGCCCTACATCGGCCTCATTTAATTGAATCCTCAGACCCAAGCAAGTCCAATACCACTGAGCCAACCGACTCCAGAGACCTTGCCGGTCGGGGCGGAACTGTGTGCCCAACACTCCCCAGAGGCTGATACTTCTGCTAGCCCATTTCCAGGATTTACTTCTGAGGTACCATCTGCGGGGATTTGAACCTTTCACCTTTTGACTAGCAGCCACTTGCTGCTGATTCACTGATCCGAGTGTGCTACCCTGGGGCCCTGTAGGGGACTGCGGGGTTTACCCATGATGAAGTTTGGCTTTCAAGGAGGTGATTTGAGTGTCTTTGGTTGGCGTTGATTCCTAAGCATTTACCAAGTGGGAGCGTATGTTAAGTTAGGTCCGGAACACTTTCTACGTGTTATCTGAGTGGGGTGCCCTCCCCACCCCCAAGGAGTCGGAATTTCCAGGGAGGCTCAGAGAAGGGAAGTAGCGCATCATAGGTCACACAGCCAGCTGGTGGAGAAACTGAGATTTGAACCTGAGTCTGCTGGTTCCATAGACTGTTTCCATTCGTCCGATTCTCCAGGAGTGTGTCCGCCACCGCCTGGGCTATCAAAGGTTTGGAGGTCAAGCACCTTCTGAAGCTTTCACATAATTCCCCCACCTACAAGGAAACCTTCATAAGCCCCGCGCTTGTGTGGCGGAGGTTTAATTGAGAGCTGTAATGTAATTCCTCTCCCCTTCTGCTGAGCAACACAGCAGAAATGGCTCAACGACTCACAGGAGCGTAGTCGGTGTAAGACTAAGTAGGCAGGCTGGGGAGAGCATTTCCATTCTCCCTGGCCTGGCTAGAAGCCATCTGCCGCTGGCCCATTGGGTGTCAAGTAGCCTGAGATGTACACAAGGAGAGAGGCAGACGCCTGAAGGGGCCTGGGTTTCTGGGCAGAAGTCCTCAGTGCGGGTTGGCTGCCATTACCCATAGCAACTCCACATGCAAGGGAACAACCGCCCAGCCCTGTGTGCCACCCCCAGGTCCGTTGCAAATCCAAAGAGGTTCCATGAACGGATTTTCGAAGTAAATCGCCAGGACTTTCTTGCTCTTCATCTTCGTCTGGAAGCTTTGCTGGAACCTGCTCAGCTTCATAGCAGCATGTAAGCCTCCACTGACAGGCGAGCGGTGCCTTGGCTGGAATCCAACCCACGTCTCCTCCTTGGAAGGCAAAATTTCTGCCACCGAGGGGTTCAGCACAGACTTCCTGACTTCCTGCTGGGGCCACATGTGTGTGCTGATGGCCGAGTTCATGGCCTGGAAGCAGGGCACAACCCAGGGTGGTCACTGTGCCCTCTTCAGCCCATGTTCTCCTGCCTGAACATCTCTGGGTCCTGCCAGCATTGCCTTGTGCAGCAGGGATTCCAGCTTCCCGCGGTCTTGGTTGCCCTTCTCTGCTTTTAGTCTAGTGAACTGTGTGGTTCTGACCATCGTAGCACATCGATATAAAGCCAGCGGTATAGTTCCTCCTTGACCTTGGGCTCTCTGCTCCTGCCCCGGAGACCTGCATGGTATAGATGGTACACACATTTGCCAAAACGAGAGTCCACCCAAGGGGTCCTCAGAAGAAAGGTGTGGCAATCCAATCAGATCTGATAGAACTGATACAGCCAAGTTCTACCCCTGGAAAATGGTGACTTACCACTGCCGCATTCGTGCATGTTTTCTCAGCAATAGGAAAGAAAACACTGCGGAGGCAGAGTTCCACTCTGCTTTGACCTTGAGCCCCCAGAGGTTGCAATGTGGCTTTAGAAGCTGGGACACAATATTGACAAGCCTTCATTGGCATTGACAGTTTGCCACTGGGGTGAACACAGGGCCCCCATCCTCAAGCAACCATAAGTCATGTTGCTGGGAGACAGGTCCCAAGTTTAAAGATGTTGACCAACCTCGGTTCGCTAGAGAGATGTGGATGACAAGAGCGTTTTTTTCTTTTTAGCCCCGGAGACAAGAGCTGTAAGACTCAGAGGAGCAAGAGACCAGTGTGGGCTTGGGGTTGGGGGTGGAGAGCTTCAAGGACAGTGAGACACACAGGGCGGGCATGGATCCCCTTGACAATGGGGGAAACTGAGGCATAGGACACAGAAGTGACTGCCGAGGCCAGAGGCACAACTGCTTGTGGGGTTCACAGACAGGAAACCCTCACCCCAGAAGATAAAAGTTGTGCAGCCCCCCCCCCACCCC